AAAATAAAAGAGGCCTTATCAACAAGCTTTGTTTGAACTACAAGCAGTTAGTGCTCCTAAAACAAACAGTCACCGCCATGGCCTTGTCTGAACTAGGTTTCCTCCCGCACCCAGAAGTTTGCCTTGTTCCTGTTACCAACAGAGTCAGCAGCAAGAGAACAGAGGCTGGATCAATTGCACAGGAAAAAACAATTCCTTAGCACCAATGATCTCACAACAACAAAAATGATCAAAGAATCATTTAAATACTAGTCTTATCAGGTTTATTGATCACAGGAGTCATCCACACATCAGACATGAGTCACTGAAATTACAAGTTTAAGAACACTTCTAGCTTGAAATGGATGAAACAAGCCCTAACTATTCTTTAACTGGGCTGTCACTGCAAAGTTCTCTATGGTCACGCTTGGCTGCAACACGCTATCAAGACAGACATTCAAGAAGAAAGCACAAGCCAAGCAGAACAGCTAGAGCAAGGGAAGGAACAGTTGCGTTATGTGGAAAGCTTGAAGTATAAGATACCAACCCCTTTTCCTGGGATAAGGCTTCACTGGGAAGATGTTCTAACACCATTAATCTCAGAGTTTAATGAGACCATGAAGAGCTCTCCCTTACACAACACAACTGCTGATCAACTGCTAGCCCCCCAGCACTTGCAGTTTTGTAAATAGGGGAGCGTTCAGACGCACCTTGCATACCTCACTAGCAGAGAGGTAAATCAAAAGGTCTTCCTGTAAAAAGGATTTGGTTTTCTGAACCTGGAGAGACAGTTAAATGAACAACTGAACAGACTGTGTCAACGCTACGTGCAGGTGGCCGCCCTCCCAAACCACAGAAAATATTAAACAAAGGATGAGAGATAGATTCCCCAAGAACTCTTGGAAAATAACTGAGAACCGATCATACCAATCAGACAAGCTCCTGTACTTTCACAGATTTGTGCTTGGAGTTAGCAGGGACTGCCCACTTGCAATGAATTTACTAATTGTGCAAACCTTGTGTGTCATTATGACTCCTGTTGTGTTCTCCCTGTCATGGGAGCATGACAACATGAAGTTTCAAAACGCTACAGCAGAACAAAGTCTTTGCACTGAACAACATTTTTGCACATGGTGCAAAACCCTATGTACGCTTCTACTAAGAAGCACAATGCAAATGGAATAGTGGCTTGTAACTTTGGAACAGCATTTTACACCAAGCATAGTGGGTCAATGGAGTAAACCGCAAAAGCATTTGCTTCTTAAAGCTACACAAAAAGATCTAGCTAGAAGAAACTTTTAGATGAGAACAGGAGTTTCCATGGAATTTCTGCACAGAAATCCAACTTTTAGCTACCACCAGTCCCTCCTTTGACAAGCCATTTTAAAGAAAGACCAGGCTACTAGCAGTATCATGTACTTTTACCGCCGTGTACTAACTGCATTACATTATATATGTTTAAAACCTCTTACTCTTTGACATCTCTCAAGCCTCTATGTCAGCCAAGAAAAAACCCACACCTCTTCCATAAGCAATTCCCAGTAATAATCACACTACTGTGCCAAAAAGCCACTAGAAGAGATAGGACTCTCAACTGTTTAACTCCTCCAATGATCTTCTTCTGTCAGTAGTTACAGCAGATGCAATTTGTTCAAAACCAAATAAAAGACATTCCTCAGCACCATCCTATGAAGATATTTGAGAACTCTTCACCCTTTTCAATACCATAAACTAAATGGAGCCCCTCAAGTGGCTACGAGCAGCACTGAGCAGGATTAGGGACTGCTTATTACTCCCACAGATCATCCTTGTCCCCTCCGTGGGCCAGGCTGTCTTTACAAGGAACGTGTCAGGATGCACGCAGAAGCCTTGGGACGTACCACCGCTTTGCATTCCGTTTGCCAGGAGCACCAGCTTCCCAAATCAAAGCTAAAAACACCAGGCAGCTGCTTTGGGCATACAGCTTCACTCGGGACTTGGTAAAGCAAGATATTCCAGTTGACTGAAGTGCTCCCAGATGACTACAAAGAGCAGCGTTCCCCATCGAGTAACACATTACAACGAACAACTTTTACTTTTATAATCTCGGTGAAGCTGTCCCCAGAGCTCTCGTCGCTATCCTCACACGAGCATAAAGCTTTGTGCAGAAACACAAGACCCAGAAGTCTACTTCAACTGCTCTACCCCATTAACAACACTAAATATAAACACACAAATTTTCCTTCAAAGCTGAGGTTAAGCCTCACCTCCAGGAGCAGAGATGTCAGTAACCAGCTGGTTCCCATGCCACAACTGCAGGGCAACCCGAGACAAAAGCTAAACAACTTGTTTCACCTTCTCGTTTCACCTGCTTGCTGCCCGTTAGAAGTATCGTGCTCCCTCGCCCACCAAGCTCTTACAACTTAGGGAAAGGAAAAAGCACGGTAACATGATATATTTAATAGGCGCAGGGATTGGAAGCAAAAATAATTTAAAAGTAAAAAAACACGCGAACAGAAAATATGCCCCAAAGGAGACATTGCAATCGTTATCGCTCACATCTGCTTCGAGGCAGTCGTAGCAGATGGAGACCTACAAGGC